GGACACGGGAGTGCAGGGTGGGGACGGTGGGCAGGGGACAGGGGAGTGCAGGGTGGGGACGGTGGGCAGAGGACAGGGGAGTGCAGGGTGGGGACAGTGGGTAGAGGACAGGGGAGTGCAGGGTGGGGACAGTGGGCAGGGGACACACGGAGAGTGCAGGATGGGGACTGAGGGCAGCAGGGAGCGGCAAGTGCATGGCCCGGAGGCCAGGGACACCGAGCTATGTCACCTTTTCCTTGAGAACCAGATGTTCTTGGCCATGGTCAGCGTCTCTGGGAGCTTGCTAAAGTGCAGGTCCCAGCCTGGGGCCAAGCAATTCTGCTCCCCAGGAAAGGAGGACCCCACCCCCAATGACACCTGCCAGAAACACCTCCGCAGGGCCACAGGCTAGTTCTCGGAGGAGGCCAGTCACCAGGCCGATGGACCCGCCTTTGCCCTTTGTACTTGGACTTGACTCCTTTCACCTCGTGGTGGTGGAGTTGGGGGTCCAGGTGGAAAACACATTTTATAAGATCTCTCCTAAGGGATTCTAAGGTCACGATCGTTTGGTTACCCTATTTTACAGTTCACATTTACAGATGGGCAAACAGCAACACAGAGAGGCCAAGTGACTTGCCTGAGGTCACACAGAGAGTTGTTTGGCAGAGCTGGGATTTGACCCACGCCTGTCACCCCCACAGCCCAAATGTTGCCACCAACCCCTGCCATCAGGGCCAAGGAGGGACTCTGAGGGACTCTAAGGGACTGGGCTTCCCAGCTCTGCCTCTAACAGGGAGAAGCTTGGACAAGTCATTTCATGTCCTCTGGGCCTCAATTTCCCCTTCTGTGGGATGGGACAATAATAAAAACACATTGCTTGTGAGTTTGATTTGAGGACCTGCAAACATGAGCTGCCACTACCCACCACGTGCCCCACAGCCCACTCCTGGCCCCTCACCCCAGCCCGCAGGCTCACCATGGTTCAAGATGTCCATGCCCAACCGCAGCAGTGCGCCCGGGTCAGCTTGAGTGCCTGGCAGCAGGCCACAGAGTGCCAGGCACAGGATCCGCAGCATGGCTCCTCCTGGGGCGAGGGCCTGAATTGGGTGCAGGCCCCAGGGCCTTGGTGCCTGTGGGACATCCCAGGTCCCAGAGCAGGTGGGGGCCCAGGAGCCTTGGGGCTGCAGCCTGCGGTGGCCCGACCTGGATCAGCCAGTAGAGGGGCTCCCGCCGGAACCTGGCTGGCAGCAGGCTCAGGCACGGGTCTCCCCTGATGCACAGGTCCTGAGAGACGGGCTCCTGCCGTCAGCCGCCATCCCAACCCCAGCCCGAGCCTGCGCTCCTCCACTGATGCGTGTTGATTGCGTGCCCGCTGTGCAGGCAGACGGAGTGCAAAACCCTGGGGATTGAACCCAGGGCACTCTACCAAGGAGCTGCACCCCCATATTCCTTTAAAAATTTTTTTGAGACAGAGTCTCTCTGAGTTCCTTAGGTCCTCACTAAGTCATGATCCTTAGGGCCCCAAATTTGTGATTCTCCTGCCTCAGCCTCCCAAGTGGCAGGGATCAAGGACGTGCACCACCATGCCCCGAGGAGAGGGGAGGCAATGGGAGAAGGGACGAGGGACTGAGGTCTGATGAATGAGAGGAGCTGGACCATGAAGACCCAATAATCAATATCACTAAATGAAAGTGGGGTCGATTCTCCTGTCCCAGTGGACTTTCAGATTCTATCTGAGCTCAAAAGCCATCAACCCTCGTGTTTTCTTGGCCCCGGGAGAGCTGCATGCGTGACAAGGACAGGCACTGCCTGTGCTGCGCTCCAGGGCAGATCTCGTCATTATCACGGGGCTGTGCAGTGCTGGACCAGGTGGCAGAGCCGGCCCCAGCTCACACGGGGACACTGAGCACTACCCCAGGCCCCCTGCCCCGTGTCCTGGTCCCTGGGGGCGGGGTGAATAATAAGGGTGGGGGTCCACAGGGTCCTGCAGGAGTTCTGGGGGGCTCATCGCGTTCTGTCTCTTGGTGCCTGTGCCTGCGCTGTCCCCATCTTTTAGAAGCCCTGCCCTGCACCCAGCCACCCTCTGTCCCCTGCTGCCCCTCAGGGCCAGATTTCAGTCCTTGCACCTCCACTGGGAGGTCTCCCTTCAACGCCCGGCCTCAGAGGCCACATTTGAGCCTGACCATGCGGGACCCCCCCATCTCTTGCCGCCAGCCGCCCGTCTTTGCTGGCAGATCCTCTACCCAGGGTCCCTCTGTCCCTCCTCTGCCTGCCACTCGTCCCCAGGGCCCCCACCCAGGTCGCCCTGAGCCTGGCTTTTCCCCCTGAGAGTCTGAGGAGGCCCCCGAGTCTGTGGCCTAAGTCACACATCCAAGGTCACCGTGTCCAGACCCAAGCCCCGGCCCTGCCACCCATCTGCTGGGTCCCCTTGCTGGGCCTGTGTCATCTGTGAAATGACGGTGCTGGGTGAGGCACTCTGGGAGGGTCCCGGGTGGGGGACTGTCCTTACCTGGCCCAGCTCAGGGAGATCCTGCCGGCGACTGACCCCTGTTCCTGACCCTGAGGCGAGGAAGCCTTATATTCAGGAGCCTGATTAGCTGCTCAGGTAATTAAGGGCTAGATAATTATCAGGAGCCCAAAGAGCAGGAGCCGCGCTCACGTGACGCTTCAGTGTGTTCCAACATAAATAGCCCCGAAGACGGGCGTCTCGGGAGCCGAGTGCTGCACCAGGGTGGCTTTGGGGATGGGCTGTGGCTGCACCAGGGTGGCTCTGGGGACGGGCTGTGGCTGCCCAAGTGAGCATCACACTCACACTGTCCCCTCTCCCAGTCCCAGCACCTGCCCCAAGGCCGGACACACAGCAAGCACACATTCATTCCTTCAGCAAATTTATTGAGTGCCTACTATGTGCTGGGGGCCTTGCAGGGCATTGGGGTGACCACGGTGCACAAGGCAGTCGGGATCCCTGATCTGAGGGCTCCTGGGGCTCACAGGGGGCCACCGGGCCAATCACCGTCACCAAGCCACCTCCGCCTGGGGGAGGCCGGGCAGGCGGCGGGATGGGAGAGAGGAGACCGGGGCCCTCAGCCGGGCTGACCCCACGAGGCCAGCAGATCTGTGTGCAGGAGGGTGACGCTGGCAAGGCCGGCCAGTGCAAAGGGCAGGACATGTGGCCGGACCCGTGGGGACCTCAGGAGGCCCCTGAGACCCCCTTCCAGGGCACACGGGGAGCTAATAGCCAATTGGGCCATCTTCAGAAGGGCCTCTGCGGACACGCGGGAGGGACACAGCACGTGCCAGGAAGGAGGGCTTTCTCTCGGGGCCACCCAGGGACCAGGAAGCAGAGGGTCACCAAGCGAGCCAGTCAGAGCCGGGGCCCAAACGTGGCCTCAGAGACCCCGGCCTGGGAGGGCCTCGGGGGGCCGAGATGTCTGTTCTCGATGAGCCACAGTCCGGGGGGCTGCTGGGGCTGGGGCCTTCCCACGCAGCCTGGGAGCCACTGTGTCACCCGCACGCGGGGCCATCACGTCCTGTGACTGAAGCCAGGTTGAGATGGGGCAAGAGAGAGCCCAGCGCCCCCTGGGTCCCTGCCCTGACCGCCCAGCCAGGGGGTCTCCTCAGGTAGCATCTCCTTATCCCTGTGGCCTGCCCCCGCAGACAGACGGACGGGTGGGCCTCACAGATCCGACCGCCTCAGGTCCACCCAGCGGGCGTGACCGCGGCCCCTGGCCTCTCTGCCCTCCCTCGGCGCCATCCTGGAGATTGGGGGAGGGGGCTGGAGGGACAGGAAGGTCAGGGGGTGGGGGATCAGGAGAAGCCCCCTCAAGTGGGGTCAAAGGTCTGAGCCCCAGCCCAGCCCCTGCCCCAGCTGAGTGGCCCTGGCAGTCCCCTGGGTCACTACTTGTCCTCTTTAGGGTGACGGTGGGGTTCTGCAGGGCAGGTAGCAAGGGTGATAATAGGTCCCGTCCGTGTGACTTCACCTAGGCCCTCAGGTGAAGTTCCTGTGCGTCTTTTGCGGGGCCCACCCCGCTTTATCCCAGGGTCTAGCAGATGAGGTGGCTCCTTGGCCATTTTCCCTATTTTGTAGACAGAGAAAATGAGGCTCAGAGAGGTCAAGCCATTTGCCCGAGGTCACACTGCCTGGGGCTCAAGGCTGAGGCCAGCCTGGGCCAGAGCTCCAGCACAGACATGTGTGAGCAGTTCACCCACCACGCATTTATGATGCCCCTGCTGGATGCGGGACTCTGAGAAGAGTCAGAGGAGAATCCGAGGTGGGAAAGAAGCCATAGGCATCTGGAACCACAGCCTGTGGTAGGAGCCGTGGCCCTGGAAGAGGGGTCTGGGGGCGGAGGGGCGGAGGGCGAGCTGGCCTGGGCAGACCCAGGAGGGCCAAAGGGTGGGGTGGAGGCCTCAACAGGAAACCGGCAGGGACACGTTCAAGGCTAAGTGTGAAGGCAGGTGGCAAGTGGGGTCCTTGTCTGGAGGCCTGGGCCTCCCATCTCTGCTTGGCCGTCGCCTCTCGGCTCTGAACGCACCCAGTTCTGCCTGGAGCAGGGCGTCTCCTGAAGCGGGCACCTGGGGCAGTGCGGGAAGAAGCCTGGGCCCAGACCCCAGCTCTCAGGGACCTTGCAGCCTCGGCCGAGGGACAGCCCTCCCGGCCCTCTCCAAGCCCATCCACTCCCCATGTGGCCTTCCCAGCAGCCACCAAGGCCCCTGCTCTCGGAGGCAGAGCTCCGCCTTCTGAAGCCCTCCCTCCCGGCAAGTCCTCCCCTCGGCCCTGGAGCATCACACAGAGGAAACTCCTTGCCACCCTTTGGTGGCTCTAGGGACAGGCAGGACCCAGGGGTGGCATGGAGGGAAGAGACCCCAGCTACAAAAAGACGTGGCTGGGCCTGGTGAAAGTTGCAACTCAAGTTTAATCAAGAGGAGGCCGATCCGACCGGCCCAGAGAGCAGCTGGTTCCCCGAAGACGGTGCAGAGCAGGGGAGGGGACGGGGACGGGGGACGCAGGCCCTCAGGGAAGGTTCACAGCCCGGTCAGGCAGCCGACTCGCTGGCAATGGCTCCAGCTGGCTCTGCCTCCGTCCCCCCTGGGCAGCGAGGCCGGCCTCTCCCAGCCCTCCTGGTGCTCCTGCTTCAGGGGTGGTAAGAGAGTCCGCTGGAAATCACCACGGAGTTCTGAAGAGAAAGCCATGGGCAGGTCAGAGGCCGAGGGGACAGGTGGGACCCCAGTCACCCCCAGCACAGACCTTCGCCTCTCTGGGCCTCCATTTCCTGCTCTGTCACTAGGGGACAACCGTACCTGCGGCTACAGTGAGGATGCAGTGAGAACCCATAGGAGCTGGGCACTCTGTGGGGTCAGTGCCATTGCTGTGCTATGACTGGGGGCCCAGGGCCATCGGACATCCTCTTCACATCCCAGCAGAGCTAGGTGCCCCCGTACCTCCCCAGGTCTAGTCATTCAGTCATTCAACAAACGTTCATTGAGCCTCTACTACACACCAAGCCCTGCGGCAGGTGTTGGGGCCTCAGCAAAGAACAAGCCAAACCCAGTCCCTGCCCGTTGGTAGCTCGCGGTCTAGGGCCACGTGGTCCAATATGGTGGCCGTTAGCCACATGCAGCCTCATAAAAATATTTTCAATGAAAAAATTAAAATTCAGATCCTGTGTCACAGGAGCCACACTCCAGGGGGCTCAGTCGTCACAGGTGCCGTGGCCGCTGCTCTGGACGGTGCGGGTTTCCACTTTGCAGAAAGTCCTGGGAGTGCAAGTCTCTGCCTCTGGAGGGCTAACGTGGCCCATCACCTGGGGAGTCCTAGGGATCCCCACTGCTCCTTCCTATGGTGGGGATCCCCCCAGTGCCTTGGGACCACAGTTCCCAAGGAACAGGGGCTTCTCCCTGGAAGGACATCAGCGGGTCCCCCCTTGGGGTGTGGTGGCACAGAGCCAGCGCGGAGGGGCCTTGGCTCAGCGCTCCGTCCCGGGGGCTCCTGCCAAGGGAATTCCCTTTTGTTTCCCAGGGAGACAGGACGCCACTCTAGGGCGTCCCTGCAGGCGGCTGGGCCTCTATTTCACATCTAGGGATGTCCCTGTACCAGGTCCCCTCCAGCCCGCAGAGGTTGTCCCCAAGGCTGAGCCGCCATCCACCCCGGACTCCAAAGGGCCGTGCCCATCCAGGGCGCGGGATCTGGGGAGGCTCGAGACCCTGTGGGACTTAGTGAGGACTAAAGCAGGGTGACGTCCCTGGGTGTCCTGAGTCGCCCACCTCTTCACAGTGAGGGTCATGGTGTGGCTCTGGAGCAGGGTGAACCCCAGGCCTGGCTGACCCCAAGACCCTCTGTGGGTGCTAGCAGGTGTGAGGGAGAGAGGAGACCCCGGGCCCCCATCCCAAAGGCCCTCACCTCATTGATGCAGATATCAGGGTTGACATAGTGGAGGTTGGTCACCGTCGGGAGGGAGATGCCTATGCCCAGGAGCGCTGCAGGTGGGAAGGAAGTCACGGTCAGCCAGAGGCAGTGACCGACCACCACCTGGAGCCGGCCCTGGGTGTCATGTGGATGCCATTATTATTATTACGCCATTTTACAGAAGGAGGACATGAGACTCAGAGAGGGGAAGCAACTTAGTGGAGGTCACCCAGCTACCATGCAGGTACATACCCAGGTGCCCACACAGGCAGCTGGACTCTGGGGCCTGGGAGGGAGGAAGGGGGTGGGGCAGAGCACAGATGGGGCATGGGGTCCACAGGGGACCAGAGGCCCTGCTGCGCTGGGTGGGCACGACTCACCATTGAAGTGTTCCAGCAGGGGCTTCTCGAACACGGTGTTCATGAGCAGGTACATGCGATCCAGCTGCAGCCACAGAGCCAGGGGCCAGGCCGAGAGGGAGGGACGATTAGGCCCACAGAGAGGCAGACAGACAGAGGGACAGGCAGAGGGAGGAAGGCAGGTCACCCACCTCTGGAGACCGGGGGGGAGCCTCCCAGGAGTAGGCCGCAGAGTGAGGCTAGCCTGAGGGACAGGCCCCAGTGGGCCAGCACGCACACACTGTGGCCACAGGGGACCAGCCAGCACCAGATGACCCACCGAGGGACAGACCCACAGACGGGCGCATGGTGGCCAAGGACCTGACCACATGGCATGCCCACGGGACCAGCCAACACTGTCTGACTTGTCCTTTAATCACAAAGGACTCCTGGACTGAGGGCCAGGCCCATGGGGTATTCGTCCCCAGGCAGAGTGACCAGAGGCTGTGACAGACCCACAGCAGCAGGGCCGGGCCAGCTGACTGACCACCGCCCCCAAGCGCCCCAGGGAGGCTGATTATGGTGGCACATGTGGGCACACCCCCTGCCTAGGCTTGAGCTCTGCCCACCCGTGGGGAGCTCCGTGACGCCCCCCCCACTCACGTTAATTGAGCCCACGTTGGAAGAGGCCACGGCCAGGTACATGTCCCTGGGAGAGAAAAGAGAGCTCCAGGGGGGCCTGGCTCCCCCACCCCTGCAGCACCCAGCCGCACCCCAGGCTCCCCCACCGACGCCGTGACCCCCGTGGCTGTGACCCGTGGCTGTGACCCTCGTGGCTGTGGGCCCACTGCACAGACCCTCCCACCGAGTCCTCTGGGGTCGAAGGCCTCGCTTACCCCACCACAGAGGTGGTCCCGTAGAGCTTCGCCTTGGACACGGAGAGCTGAAGGTTCAGGTTCACCACCTGGGTGCAGGGAGGGCAGGGTCAGGGCACAGCCACGCGGGAGCCCCTCCCCACAATCCCCTCCCCCTCCCCCACCCCGTTCATTGGTGACACAGGTGTTTGTGAAGCAGCGGGTGCCAGGTCCTGCACTCAGCCCTGGGGACAACGCAGTGTGAATAAAGCTGGCCAGGTCCCTGCCCAGGAGCCCACCACAGGCCAGTAGGGGTTAAGCAAAGCTAGAGTAACCAGACAGGGTCCTTGCAGGGAGTGGAGGATGAGCGGTGGTCTGGAAGGGCTAGTGGAACCTTCTCCCTCAGGGTGGGGCAGGGTGCCCTGAGGAAGGCCACAGCATTTAATCTGAACCAAAAGATGCCAAGGAGCTAGCCATGCCAAGAGCAGGGAAGAGCCTTCTGCAGAGGGCCCAGTACGTACAAAGGCACTGGGGCAGGAATGTGCTGCTAAACAAGTTCAAGAGACAACAGGGGACCACCGTGGACAGGAGAAAGCCGGCGAGGAGCAGGCAGGAACGAACGAGCTCTTGAGAGGTGCCCTACCCGGCCAGCCCCACCTGGCTGGCTTCTTACCACAGTCAGGGAGAAGAGGGACTGGAAGGCCGAGTTGGAGGAGGTGGCCAGGACCTCCACCAGGGGCTGCAGCCGCAGCGTGATGCTCCTGTTGTGGAACGCAGCCACGGGCATGGCACCCAGGCGCACCTTGAGCACCACGGGCTTGTACTCGGGGACCTGGTGGGCCACCTGGAGAAGCAGAGAGGGCACGAGGGAGGGAGCCCTGCTGGGCGAGGGCTGAGCAGAAGTCCCACCCAGTCGCCCTCCAGTGTGGCCACCACCGGGGCCCTCAGGACTGGGCCACGGGGCCACATCCAGGCCAAGCCCTTGGCCCTCCAGGAGGAGGCTCCTGAGCTGGGCCCTGCAGGTGAACAAGGCACAGGGAGAAGGAAGGGTGCCCGGCAGGGACACTGCTGGGAGGAGGCAGTGGGAGAGCAGAGCGAGATGTCCACACAGGCCAGGGGCACCCCGGAGGGCTGGGGAGCAGACTTCAGGGCAGGCACTGAGCAAACCCACTACGGACGGACACGAGCCAGCCGAGGTCACACACCCCAGGGAGCCCCCAGTACCTGGGGTGACCAGAAATGGCACCGACCTCGGGGATGAACTTGCTCAGGACGGAGGTGTTCAGCGGGTTGTCGTCTGACTGCTGCAAGCCCCCACCCAGGACAAGTTTTCAGGCAGCCATTCCCCAAGCAAGGCTGCCACGTGCCCCTCCCGGACAGGAACCCCGCCCCACCGATCCCATGCCACCTTGCCAGTGGCCACCCTGTTATCTGTCCCACCCGCCTGCCACTCGGCATCTGTGGTGTCCCCCGGGAAGGCCACGCGCTGGGCAGAGGCCTCGCTCACCAGGTGCGCTGTGATGTCCAGGTTGAGGGCCCCGGCCTTCTGCAGCAGCAGCAGGACAGAGTCAAACAGGTTCTGAGACAGGGCCAGAGTGGCCATGGCCGCCCTGTTGCCCACCAACTCTGGCAGCTCCAAGTGGGGGGTGTCCATGGGCAGGATGATGGGGTTGCCCAGCAGGAAGAGAACCGCCTGCAGTGGAGGTGGGAGAAGAGCACCAGGGTCTCGGGAGGGACGTGGCCCTGGGACAGGTCCAGCTCCTAGATCCCAACCCCCACCCCACCCGCCACGTGCACGCCAGCCTCATGCCTCTGCCTGGGGGTCACACTCCCTGCAGAACGTCACACCAGCCCCTCTCCCTTTCACTTCCCCATTTTTTTAAGATTCTTCGAGGACACCAAGGACCCCAGAAGCCACCGGCTCCAAGCACTGGGCTGACAGGAAGGTACTTGCATTTAGATTCATGGAAATGTAGTCCCGGGTGATGCTGGGTGGGTTCATCATGTAGTAGCAGATTTGGGACTCAGGGCTTACAGGGTTGAGGCCTTCATAAAATCAGGATGGAGAAGAAAAAAGGGGATAGTTAGACCATCAAAACTAGGTTATCTGACTACCTTGAGTAGCCAGAACCAGGCCAGCCAGAGGGACTGGCCAGGCCTCTGGGGAAGCACATGTCAAAGGGCACAAGTTTTGCCCACTCACAGCCTGTTGACTCTTAGTTTAGACACAATTCTGACAAGGTGGCTTCTGCTTTCTCAATCAGTAAAAGACTAGTGACCTAAAATTACAAGGTAGGAGAAGGCTCAGTCTGGGCCTTCTTTACCTCCTGATAAAAAGTAAGAAGGAAAACAGAAAAAGACGAGAGCTCACATTTATCAAGTCCAGATACTTGACTTACTCTCATTCAGCCACCATCACAACACTAGAAGATAACCTTACATACACACATGCACACACACACCGTTTGGAGTTCAGTGTTGCCTAGGATTGTATATTTGGTCAGTTTTCAGTCTGACCTCAAAGCTATGGTCGCTCCATCTAATCACACTGCCCCCTAAAGAAACACCAAAGGCACATATCCCCAGGTGTAGTCAGTGCAAGAGCACAGGAATCTGACTCCCCTACAAAGACTCAGGGCAGCTTGCAAGAAGGCACAATTAAGAGCCCAAAACCTATGAGGCAAGTTTACTCAAGGCTCTGAATATTCTGCATGGGAAAAGTTGCAGAAGTCATCCATGAGGGGAACCACATCCCTGGACCTGGCTGAAGATGTCTCAGATTAAGCTCAAGCCCAGCTGTTAGGAAAACCCACCTCAGCAAGAGCTCTGCTCCCAAGGCTCTGGATGACCAAGTTCACTCTGTATGTATATGAGTCTGCATGGATATCAATGTGTAGTACACTGTCTGTATTGTTTGGTTTTGTTTACATATAAAATATGTAATTACACTTAATATTTTCCATATAAAAACATAGGATATAAAAATATATAAATATGTTTATAAATACATGAATGTATTACATTCATGTATTTATAAACATATTTATATATTTTTATTCAGATTCCTGTTTTTATATTGTCTCTTCTGGATTTAATTTTATTTTCTCTAACATTTTGGAAATGTTTTATGATTGTAAAAGCAACGTAGTATGACTCCATTTCTACAGATCAGGAGCAGTGGGCAGCATGAGGGACCTGGGAGCCAGTGTACAGAGCCATGCTCTGTACCTGAGTATGGGGGGGATTACGCAGCTCTGCATTTGTCAAAATTCACTTTTTAAAAAAAGGTGAATTATTCCATATTTTCATTATAAGTAAAAATATTAAAAATTTTTAAATAATGATATATATTCATGAAGGATGTTTAAGAAATGGGAAAAATAGATGAAAATGTAGCCCAGAATTTCAAATTTTTTTAAAAAAATTCCTTATGCAGAGGTAAATCTCTCTTCTTTCCTGCCCTCCCTCCCTCCCTCTCTCCCTCCCTCTCTCTCTCTCTGTCTCTCTCTATCTCTCTCTCTCTCATCTAGGGTGAAACCCCACATAATTTTGTGTTCTTCTGGGTTTTAAACAGAGTACTATTAGAACTTTGGCTAAAGGCAGAGGGTGGGGGAGGCAGACGGAGCCTGACAGGTGGAGGGGAGGAAGGCCTTGACCAAGGGCCCTGCCTGCATAGTGGGTGGCCCCCAAACTTGTCCTGCAGGAAGGGCCCCCGGGGCAGCACACAATGGTCATGCCCCGCCCCTGGGGCCCCTGGCCCACCCTTCCTGCCCACTGCCTTTAATCTCTCAGGCTGTGCATGGCCCTGAGCCTCGTGCCCAAAGGCTCCAAGGCCACAAAATGACAGGATGGGTACCCTGGGGCCACTCATCCCCCTTCCTAGAGCTACTTCAAGAGTCCATCTGTAAAGTCCAGCACCCTGTCCCATAAACCCAGCTGGCTCCCTGGCCCAGCGCGGGTGCAGCGCTTTACACGAATCACTGCAGTTCATCCTCATGAAGGCCATTCTCCCATTTTACAGAGGAGGACACTGAGGCCCAGGAAGGCTGACTGACCTAATGTGGGTCACACAGCCAGGAGCCAGCTAGTCAGGCTCAAGGGCAAGCTGTACTTGTCCTCCTGCACTGGACCAACAGCTCTGCTTAAAGCAACTTCCTTTTTCTTAAATTGATGGCAAAGGAAAAACCTCCCCTCATGTCAAAAATCAGAAATCTGCACTAATAGTCATGAAGTCCCCAGGTGGATGGGGTGGTCACCCATCCCCTCCGACATGGCCTTTGAATGCATAACTGTTTGATTGAAGAAACTGCATCCCGGACGCACAATACATCCGTGACAGCCCAGGCCTGAGCCCCGATCCCCAGGGCATGCCAGGCCAGCTCTAGTGACACATGTGCCCAAGGCCACAGCCTGCCTCCCAGACCCCTGTGGATTCCCTTGGGGCTGCTGTGAGCCCACACACTGTGTCACTGTAACTCCAGAGGAAGGAAAAGGTCGCTATGAGGCCCCTTCCGAGTGTCGGCGCCCTGAGAGCCCCCCTTCCTGGAAATGCTGTGGACTTGAAGACTCTCCAGCGTTAAGACCCATGACTTAAAGATGGGCTTTTATTTTCTTTCTCCAGATGATTGGCGCTCAAGTCTGCAGTTCTGGAATCAAAGACTTGGTTCTAGAATTCGGAGCCTCCCAGGCTGCACAGAGGCCTGCGGTTTGAGGACCCCACGTCCAGCCTTGCTAAGACTGGCCTCCCAGACTCCGGGGAGTCTTTGAAGGGTTTGGGGGCCCCAGGGCCCTGGCCTCCCATTGCCCTGAAGCCCCGGGTCTTACCGATTAAGGTGCCCATGTGGATATTGATGTTGTCCACCAGGTTGGCCAAGTTCAGGTTCAGCTGTGGGGGACAGAGAGGAGGCGGTGAGGGGCCACTGCGGCTAGAGGCAGAGCTAGAAGGAGTCCAGGGCTGTGCCGAGGCCCCCCTTTCCCCTACGCCAAGCCCCGAATCCCACTGTGGCATCTTCTGGCTCCTCCTCTGGGCACCAGGGAATCTGAGAGGTGCCCCAGAAGCTGGTCATGGCGGCGGGGCCCAGAGGCACACAGAACCAGGGGCTATGCAGGCTGCTGGGGTGGCCCCAGCTGGGGAAGTGACCAAAGCTGGGAGCCTACTGCCCCAGGGTCCAGAGGGGCAGCTTTGGAGGGCGCAGTGCCCAGGACCACAGCAGTCAGCAAGCCACAGATGCCAGTCCAAGGGGACTGGAGGTTCTCCCAGGCAGTGGGCAGCCGTGGGCGCCATGCTCTGGCCAGAGGAGAGACCGCAAGGCCAGAGCACTCACTATCCAGGCCAGGTGACAGCGGAGGAGCCGGGCCATGCAAGGCCAAGGCGGGGAGGACAGGGCCTTCCTGTCCCCTAGAGCCACACACGACCCCTGCCCTGAAGGATCTCGTAAGAAGCTGTCCCATGGGCAAGGCCAGCGTCCTCCTGGGCAGCCCGTGGGACCCTGGGACAAGCTGCAGCCCCTCCTGCCTCCAGCCCGTCCTCCCTTCAGTGGGAGACCGTGGCCTCCTCTTGATCTGGCCTCTGCGCACCCCTCACTGGGAGGAAGGGCTGGCCTGGAATGGCCGAGAGGGAGGACCCGTTCCCTGGGCAGTGAGACCTGGAATCCAGGGGACAGCCTCCCCCCAGGTCAGTCGCATGCTGACAATGACAAGAGCAAGATCTGCTGTGACCCCAGAGCACCCACTCTGCCCAGCCCCACGGGGGAGGGCGGACGCTCACTGCAGACGCGGAACCCGGGGCACCAGAGGGTGACGGCAGGGAGGAAGGTCAGGACCCACCCAGCTCCTCTGCTCTGCGCCATGCCCCGTCCACAAACACTGTCCCCGCCCAGCTTCTCCCATGGAACTGGGCTCCCCAAGGGCATGAGCCCACAGGACCCATCCTCTCCCCCTGGACAACACATCAGCCCCTCTGTCCTCTGGGGGAAACGGGAGGTGCCCACGGGGGGCTGTCAAGGGTCCTGGGTGGGGACATGCCCATGGTAGAACACGGGCTCTGCACGGGAGGCCCTGGGTTCCATCCACCCCAGGCTCCCACGCCCTGTGCCCGCGACCCTCGTTCATTCATCACTCCTTCAGACACAGCGGCACCCCGTCCCGGGCCACCCCGCGGGGTCTTCACCTTGCTGCTGAGAATAGCTTTGATGTCCTTCTGTAGCGTGGCCAGCAGCGCAGGGGACAGGCTGAGGAAGAGAGGCAGAAGGGTCCGTGAGTCCCCAGGGTCTGTCCCTCAGCGGGGCGCTGACAGCCCAGGCCAGGGGAAGGCGGAGGAGCCCGGCCAAGCAAGGCCCAGGCAGAGAGGACAGGGCCTTCCTGTCCCTGTGCCCCAAGGCTGGGACAGAAGTCTCTGTCCCCGGGCAGAAGCCCAGAGATCCCTGCCAAGACCCCACCGGGGGCCAGGCAGCCCTGGAACCATGGCCCCACGCTGCAGGGGAGGAAGCTGAGTCTTGGTCTCAAAGTGGCCGAGAAGGTGATGCCCGAGGCCAGGCTCGGGAGAGGCAGAGACACTGCAAAGGCCAGAGGAGGCCACCCTGCTGTCCCCTGGCTCCATGACCACTCAGAGCCCAGGGCGGTGGGCTGGGGCGGCAGGATCCAGGGTCTGCTTCCTGCTTTGGTTCCATTCTCTGTGACTAGTGAGGTCCCCTCCTGGTCCTGGAGCTCAGAGAGGGGGGTCTCAGTTGGTGGTTCTCAGAGGTGGCCCCGGGGAACCGAGCTTCCTCCATCTGCCAGGGGTGGACGGAAGTCACAGCTGGGACTCACTGGACCACGCCTGGGAGCGGGGAGAAGGTCTGGGCTTTCACCATGTCAGCTCTGGCTGCAGCCTCCGCTCCGGTCACCAGGAGTGGCCCCTGCCTGCGGAGACCGCAGGGACCACGGTCTACCCAGGACACGGCATGAATGAACGAACGTGCGTGCACCCGTCTCTGGGGAAATGGTCAGGCTTTGTGCAAACACGGCGTCTTTTAAAGACTCCAAAATGCTCAACCACCTCAGAGTAAGCCCCTCCTCATGTTTGGGAAGATGGGGACACAGTGTTGGGGATTCAGGAACAGTGGGATCAGGCAGCTTCCTTCACTTGAATTCAGCTCCTGGCCTTAGGCTAGTCACTCAGATTCTCTGAGCTCCATTTGTTCTTCTGTAAAATGGAGGAACCCTGACACCTACTGGGAGGAGCGCACAGTAGGGCTCAGGCAGGTGCTGTGTTAGTCTACATGAAAACATGAGCAGCCTCTCCACCCTTTGCAAGCTGGCTTCCCCTCCCACTCTGCAGGGAGGGGTGGCCTCCGAGGCTCCCGACAGCCAATGTCATGGGCAGAGTCCCCTCCAGGGTGTCCATCACTGGCTGTGCGTATGGGTGGACAATGGCTAGGATAGGCTGTGTGACCTCAGGCAAGTCTTGCCCCTTCTCTGAGCTTCAGTGTTCTCCATCACAAAAGAGGCATGAAAATGGGGGTCTCTTAGGTCTACTGTGTTCATTGGGCAAATATTTGAGGGGGACACTCAAGAACTGGCCCCACAGCCCTGGCACGGGGGCTCCTGGAGCCCTGCCCTCCGTACCTGTGAGCAGACACCTACTTTTTGTTGTCATCAAGCACCGTGGCTCGGCCGAAGTGCGGGAAGAAGGTGGAGATGCTGATCTTGGGGGTCCCAAGGGAGCTCTGGGTCACACGTAAGTCAGACTGCAGTGTCACAGGCACCATCAGCTCCAGGGACTCTGGGACACTGCAGGGAGGCCAGGCCTGAGTGCGGGCGGTCAACCTGCCCCAGGTGACCAAAGAACCCCAAGTCCCAGACCTGGGCTGCCCCCCACGGGGCATGAGACGGCGGCACCAGGGCAGGCCCAGAGCCCCCGGCCACGTGGCTGCAGATGTTGTGGTAGGTGAATTCTGGCCCTCTGAGCCCCCCACCGCAAGACCCTGGGCCAGTCACTCGCCAGGCACAGCCTCAGCTTGCTCTTCTGTGAGGAAGAGGAAGAGTGGGCCTGGGACTGGTGGCACTTATCCCGCAGGGCTGTGCTGAGTCTCCCACGAGGTCACCAGGGGAAAACAGCCCGCTCTGGGCCCGGCCACCGTGAGCACTCATGAAATGGCAGTGCAGGGAGGAGGGTGAGAGCAAGGGCTCCCCAGAAGGCCAGCTCATGGCCTGGCCACGGACTGCCATCGCCCAAGAGCTGCCTGGTGCTCAGGACTCATTCTGATAGCTACGTTTATTGAGCACCTACTGTGTGCCTTCCACCATGAGAGAGGATGGTGGTGACAGGTACAGGAATGAATCTACTCACAGCCCCGCTGCCCAGTTTCACCCCATTTCACAGAGGGGGAGACTGAGGGTTGGGGAAAGGGCAGGGGCTGGGATCTCAGAGACTCTCTCACTGTCCTGTCCTGCTCAGAGGGTACAAGAAAGTGGCCTGGAGGAGGTGCCGGCCCCCCAAAACCTGGTCTGCCTTACTCTGCTCCTTGGAGTGTCCCCCAACAGGGAGGTAGTCACTCACCAAAACACCTTGACAGTGAAATTGGCGGCCGCCCACATGTATATGCCGAAGTCAGGGAGGAACTTCAGGTGGAGGCGCGTCACGCGGACTGCTGGAACCTGGATCCTGCAGAACCAAGGTGACAAGGGAATCCACGCTGCATCGGGGGCCTGAGCCACCCTCACTCCTTTGGTGCTAAAGAAGGGTTTTCTGAGGTCGGGACCATGAGGGGAGGGGGCGGCCCTGAGCCCAGGCAGGATGTGTACCGAGCAGGGCGACCGAGGGCCGAGCCTCCGGCAGGACTGAGTGACCTCAGTCACTGCACAGGTTTCTGACGTTCCTGACCACAGAACTTAGGAAGGGGGCAGGACAGACCCTGGGACCCACTGAAGGTGGAAATCCCTCCAGAGCTTTCCCACAGACAGGGTCAGCTTGCAGCCCTCCGGCAAGGGGACAGTCCCCCTCCAGCAAGGGGACAGTCCCCCTCCAGGGCTGCCTGTTCTGATGGCCACGCTGTGTTCAATGACCCTGTTTTCCTTTTTCCCCAAGTGAAAATCCCTTTATTTCTTAGTTGGGGGTGTGGGTGATCAGACACTACAAAGCGGCAGGAGAGGTAGAGGTCACATCCAGACCCACCCTGAACACCCTGGCCATTGGCGTCAGGTGACATGGGTCCACAGTGCACCCCAGCACACAGGCCACCCTAGAGCCTGCTCCACAACCACCTGAGTGTGTTCCCACGGCTGCAAATGAGGGCCCTTCTGTGGGACACGCGTGGCATGGCCAGACCAGAGACTGTGGCAGACGCCTTGGTGGGTGGGTGTCTACGCGGTTCTCGGCTCCCAACCACTATTAACGTGCCACGAACAGCGTTCCAGTGCTCCTTGGGAGGGTCTCAAACTGGTGGCCCTGAGCCAGCTGGTTATTTACCCATGTGTGTTCCAGGGTCTTAAAGTTAAGTTTTTCAATTTGAAAGTATAGATGATAAGTAGGTAGGTGGGTGGATGGGTGGATGGATAGATAGATAGATATAGAAAGATATAGACAGATGCTATTTGTAAATAAATAGATATAGATGATATAGAGATAGAGATAACAGATAAAGATAGATGAAAGATAAAGACAGAGGTAGAAATAGACACATAGATGAGATAGATAGATAGATGATAGATAGATAGATAGATACATTCTTCTGGACGCCCAGACTCCTGGCAGTAGCAAGTCTCTGTTCCCACATTAATGGGGACACTTTGCCCAATCTCTGCAGGTGCCTGAGTTTGAGGCTCTGTGCATTAAAGGACAGAGGCAACGCTCAAGACTAGTGTCTAAACCTGGTCCAGCTGTTGGAGGGAGCAGCTGGGGTCCTGCCAGCTCTGTGGATCCTGGAGCCACAGTCTTGGCCCTGAGAACAGAAATCCACTGATCCAAGGCGCGGGGGCCCTTGTGACTCCATCTTGGTCCCATCTCCTAAATCTTGTAGGCAGTCACCCAGGCAGTGGGCACCTCTAACTTGGCAAGGGGAGCACTCCTCCATAGACAAGGGTGCTCATCCAGTGGTCTGGGAGTTGAACCAGATGGAACGCCGCCTCCCAGGGCACCTGCAGGGGGTGGGGGAGGCCTCCTGTGCAGCTCAGGCAGGATCCTCCTCCTGACCGCTGGAGCACACACCTGGCTGGCTCCACCTGGGCTCGTGAGCACACTTCTAAAAAGGGGAGCACTCACCTGACAGTCTGAAGCACCTCACTACTCTGGTCCAGAAAATGCTGGTCATCGACCTTTAAGGCCTCCTGGAGAGGAACTTTCCCGAACTCAGACACTGTAGGGCCAGGACAGAGCAAGGTCAGGCTGCCCTCGGTCTTCACCAAGCAGCAAGACCACCACCTCCCATCTGCCCAGCACCTGGAGTGCAGGGGACTCAGCTTCTGGAAGGGCGGAGCTTGCAAGCCGCCTCAAGGCCGTCCACCACTCACCCCAGGCCCTCTGCGGCACAGGCCGTCCCCTCTGGCTTCTGCCTCTCAAACCCCTGCACATTTCATGCCATTCCTCAGAGAATAAAATCCTTGGCCTCTTGCGAGGCTCCAGGAGGCTCCCAGCATGCCTGGCGGCTGAGGAGGCTGCCCCTGGGCAAGGAGGGACCTCGGCTGGAGGCTGGACATCCCAAAGTCCTCAGATTGTGGGTGCAAGTCCCAGCACTGCCGCACCGCCCGGGTGGCAGCTCCATGCCCCTGTTTCCACATTTGCAATGATTATAATGGTGCCGCCACCTGGGGCCACTGCAAAGGCCGTGCGAAATGAGTGCTGGCTACCACCGCGGCGGCTGTCCTTACAGAGGACTAATGGTGGCTGTCCCTTACAGAGTCGGGCACTGTTCTAAGCTCTTCCCTCTTATACCGTGCCCAGGTTACAGGGAGGCGAGGACACCTGGCCAGGGAGATCTGGCCTGAGCCCCAGCAGCTGGCTCAAGTCTGTGCACGTCCTCGCTCCCCGGCGCTGCGCTGCGGGGGCCCTGGTGCTGGAAGGGAGGGTCAGCTCAGGAGCGGGGAGGCGAGAACCTGCTCAGGCTCAGTGGGGATGGTGGGAAGAAGTCCCTGGGCCTCAGTTTCCCCAGAGGCAGAGCAGGAAGGCCAAAGCTCCAGCTCTTGGATTCCCACGTGCTGAGCCCCCTCTTTGGGGCGCTTGCAGTCTGGGGCTCCAGGCCGGGTGCTCTGATGCAGAGCAAGCCGCCCCATGTGCCAGGTGCGCCTCCCACCGGATGTCCACTAGGAACAGACACAGGCACGTAAAACCCGGGAGGGATCCCTGGGGACAGCAGGGGGCGGAGCGTCAGGGTGGGGCAGCTCATGGCCACGCCCACCCCGCCCACAGGCATCCGTGCGAGACGGTGGACAAGTCAACAAGTCACGTTCGGCTGGGATCACTGCCCGCGCTCCCTGTCTGCTCATCTGCCAGGATCCGAGGTCCCGGAAAGTCGTTGCACCCTGAGGGCCGAGGGAGGGGACCCTGCTGCTTCCCAGAGTGCGGGACACTGAAAATCCCTTCTGCTGCCTGCTGGAGCTGCTCACCCCAGCAGTCGTCCACCCTGACCCAGGTTTTGTGGGACACGGAAGCTCCCTGGGAGGCCACAGGTGGCCAACAGACTTCTGTGCTCAGTCCTGGACCGTGGCAACTTTGGTCCCTCCTGGGCCTACGTCTCCTCCCCAGGGGACAGGGCAGGTCTCCAAAGGATTTAGCAGCAAAGTGATGAGACAGAGGCCTGGCCCAAGAGGGGCCCAGAGAGGCTGGCTGGCCCTCTCCCACTGAGCCCAGCAAGGATCTAACCTCAGACACTCCCCACAGCACTGCTTGACATGCTGCTCTCCAGGACACATGCACGTGCAGATGCCACACGCACACATTATACCCGGGGAGCACAGCCATCCAGGCACATGCGGTGATCACACACCCTCCCGACACTCAAGTACACAGGTGAGCACATCTGCACAGAATTCCAAACCCAGCCAGGCATAGTGGAGCACGCCTGGAATCCCAGGGACTTGGGAGGCTGAGGCAGGAGGATTTCAAGTTCAAGGACAGCCTCAGCAATTTAGCGAGGCCTTAAGCAAGTTAGCTGAGGACGTGGCTCAGTGGTTAATCACCCCTGGGTTCAATCCCCAGTACCCACACACACCCCCAAAAATTCCAAATTCATAAGTAGACATACAAAAAATGGAACTAACCACTAATACACGTGAACACAGACATGTGTGCACGTTTGCATGTTGACCATATGATACATAGTCCTGTTCATTTAATAAATATTCATTGAGCAGTGCTGGCTCAGGCACTGTCACAGCAGCGGATAAGAATCCTTTTGTGGCCAGGCACAACTATAGACCCAGTGGCTTGGGAGGCTGAGGCAGGAGGATGTTGAGTTCAAAGTCAGCCTCAGCAACTGAAGGAGGCCCCAGCAACTCAGCGAGATCCTGTCTCTAAATAAAACATTATAAGCTCAGGTGTAGCTGGGTGCAATGGCGTGTGCCTGTAATTTCAGAGGCTGAGGCAGGAGATATCTTGAGTTCAAAGCCAGCCTCAGCAACTTAGCAAGACCCTCAGCAGATTAATGAGACCCTGTCTCAAAATTTAAAAATTGAAAAAGGGCTGGGGATGCGGCTCAGTGGTTAAGCACCCCTGGGTTCAATCCTCAGTACCTCCCCACAAAAATAAAAAATAAGATAATTTTTTAAAAAATAATTCTTTTGCGTTCACAGCGTGCACACACTTTGGATCGCCCACACATGCAGACACGGGCTCCACGCACAGGTTGGGTGGTGCCTCTCTTACCGTAGCTCAGGACGGCCTTGTTGATTCGGACCACGGTGCCTGCCGTGGAGGTGCTGACCACGGGCAGCAGCAGTGCCAGCAGAAGCCTCAGCCCACGTACCCCAGCCATGGCTGAACTGGCCTCCGCCCCAGGATCTGCAGGTGGATAGAGACAAGGCTCAGGTAGTGAGCCCGCACAGCCCACCCTTGGGCTCACACCAGCCTGTCTGGAGGACACAAGTCCCAAGTGGAGAGCACAGCCTGGCCCTGGACCCCAGGCACCAGCTTTGCACCTTGGGAGTGACCGTCTCCCCATCTTCCAAACCAGGAGGGAAACTGGTTTGGAAATGGTTCCCAGACCCTGAGAAGGCGTGGCTTTGCCCCAGGCCACACAGCCTACTGGGGACAAGTGCAAACACCACCTCATGTCAGAGGAGGGTGGAGAGACTCCTAGATGGGGAGATGGGGGGCAGCTTCCTGTCCCAAGAAGAGGACCCGGAACAGGGTCCCAAGGCCAGGGCTGTCATCAGGAGTCCAGTCTGGGGTGGTGGCCCACCCTGGCTCCAGGTGGCTCCTGGCTGATCTCCTCCTAGCCTGCATGTTGGCCGCCCCCAGGACCCAACCCACCCGGCCTGGCCTGGCTCAGAGGGCAGGTCTGTACCGAACCTGTGTTCAACCTCTGTCCCAGCAGGAAGGGACGAGGGGACACAGCTCAGAAGGGCCCTCTGAGGCCCAGCAAGGCAGCCCCTGCCCACAGTCCCCCAGCAAGGCCAGGGGTGGCTGGAGTCCCCTGCAGCAGGCAGCCAGAGGTCATGTCCCCATGGAGCAGGGGACAAGTGCCAGTCCCAGCCCCTTCCTACCTCAGGTAGTTCTTGAGGCAGGTGGACACTCAGCCCAGACAAGTCCGCTTCTGCCTGAGGTGGACGGGTGCGCAGGTGGCTTTATGAGGCTTCCCGTGTGCAGGGCCCACTGTGCAGGGCCCCGGGCAGAGGAGGTCCGTGGGTGGTGCCAAGTGTTTTCCCTGCAAACACAGTCTTTGCCAAGTGTCCATCTCAGTCATGTGCGATGGGCTGCCACGTCGCCAGGCCTGGCTGCCAACGGCTGCGAGACCCTGGAGCTGGACAGCGCTGGTCTCCAGGGCCAGGAGCCTCCGGAAGAGTGGCTGTCCCCAGGGGTGGTCCCTCATCAGCCCAGGCAGGCCCACCAAGGCCCAGGAAGAAGGGAGTGCCCAAACACAGGGGGACGCCACAATGACCCCTCAAGCTTGGGGTCCCCACGCTGTCCCAAAAACACGACCCTTTCAGAGGAGAAGGAGGCTACCTGAGCCCCAGTCCCCTGATCCTGGCCACACCCTGAGCTTTGTCTCTGGGTAAACACTGAGACCTGACCCTGGTCACTGACTGAGGTCTGATGCTGGTCACACACTGAGCCTTCGCTCAAAGCAAACAGAAGACAAGGTGTGGATGACCCACCCCTTAACACCCAGTCCCCCTCCAAACTCGCACACAGTGGGTCTAACCCGTCCCCTCTCTCCACTGCAACCTCCACAGTCCACCGCGGCCACACAGGACCCAGAGGACCGTGTGTGCCCCTGAAGCTGGCATGTCCACGTCTGTGCATGGGAGGAGGCACTAGGTGTGTGTCCGTGAGTGTGGTGGTGTGTGCAGAGTTGCACGTTCACATATGCGTTAGGTTGTCATTTCTGGTTTCTGTGTGGGTGTATACGTGACAGGGCACATTGACACCTTGGTTTTGGATGTCACGTGCCAATTTGCACAAAACCATAAGAGTGCAGATATGAGGAGGTGGGCACACGGGCATGTGTGGCTTGGTCTGTTGAGTGTTTGTGGGTCTGTGTGTGTTAGATGCAAGTGTGTGTAGTGGGCTGCTTCCTGTCCTGGGGTGTGTGTGTGAGTGTGAGTGTGTGCATGTACACATGTGCACAGGAGGTGATGTCTGGCTTCAAGGAGGGTCTTTCCATTCCTCTGAATGACTCAACTGGGACAGAGGGACAAGGGCCTAGAGGGCTTCCACCATTCCAGAATGCTCTGTGGCTCCCACTGAGTCCTCGCCAGCCCAACTACCAAGCCCCAAGCCCAGGCTGACCCTGTCCTGGGTTCCCATTAGTGCCTACAGGGCTGACAGGGACCTGGACACTATCAAGCCCTCTCTTGGGGACCCAGATCTCCCCTGGACTGGCCCTGTCTCCCGTCCTTGCTCCATGACCCCAATTCTAGAGGCCAAAAGGAACGAGAGGGGCTGCTCTGAGCTCCCTCCCGTCCCATTCCTGGCCTTGGTTTGACCACAGATGCCATAGACACTAGGCCTCCCGAGTCCTCAGCAGAGCAAACTCCATGGACAAGCGCAAATATTGACCCAAGGCATCTTGGTGTTTGCATTTGACATGAACGCTTCCTCTTCCTTAACACTTCTAGCACAGGGGACAACATTTAGGAACATCCAGGTGACACGAAGGAGGGATTCTCACCGGTTCATCCCTGAGCCCAGCAATCTCCCTACAGCACTTGGCAGGCCGTTTGCTAAGCACCTGTTCCCTACAAGATGGCCCTTCAGGCCCGGGGACAGGAGCTGGTGTTGCTCAGCCCTGTATCCGGTGCCTGGACACAAATTTACTGAATGAATGTATAATTAATTCAAAGGTCCTTGTGACAACAAGTGACAGAATTTCAGTTTCCCCTTCACTGGATATTCTCACGTTAGCCACCTACTGCTGCATAACAAATTGCCTCACCCTTAGTGAGTGCACGTGCAAATTCATCATCTTAGGGTTCTAAGCATTAAAAGTCCAAAGTGAGTCTCACTGGGTTACAATCAAGGAAGCAGAGCAGGAGATTAAGGAAAGGAACTGTTTCCTGACTTTTTCCAGCATCTAGAGGCTGCCCTTGTTCCTCAGTCCCTGGCCTCTTTCTCCATCTCTAAAGCCAGCAACGTTGAGCTGAGAGCATCTCTGTCTCCCTCTTCCATCTTCCACTTATAACTGCACTGGACCCACCTGGATAATCTAAGATAGTCTCCCCTCCTCAAGGTCATCTGAATTGGAACCTTAATTCTGTCTGCTAGCTTTAACTCCCTTTTGCCAAGTAACGTAACATATTCATATGTTCAGATTTTAGCACGGGAACCTCCACTTCCCACAGGTACTTAACCTGCAATTTTTAGTACCTGCCATCAGGGGGCAAGAGCGAGTTCACTTTTAGTGTCAATTCAAATGGTCAGGTTCTCCTTTTTTTTTTTTTAATTCTATATAGAATTAAAAGAAAAAGAGAACCTGACCATTTGACAGCAAAATGCATTTCAATTCATATTACACATATAGAGCACGATTTTTCATGTCTCTGGTTGTACACAAAGTAGAGTCTCACCATTGTGTCTTCATTACGTGTACTTAGGATAATGATGTTTTTCTTATCCCCCTGCCCCCCCTTCTTCTCCCTCCCTTTTGCCCTATCTAAAGTTCCTCTATTCCTCCCACACTCCCCCCACATTCCCGTTATGGATCAGCATCCTCATATCAGAGAAAACATTTGGCATTTGGTTTTGGGGGGAGGGCTTACTTCACTTAGCCCATTCACTTACTTCTCCAACTCCATCCATTTACCTGCAAATGCCACAATTTTATTCTCTTTTAATGCTGAATAATATTCCATTGTGTATATACACCACATTTTCTTTATCCATTCATCTGCCGAAGGGCATCTAGGTTGATTCCAAATTTTGCTATTGAGAATTATGCGGCTATAAACATTGATGTGGCTATGTCCCTATATTATGCTGTTTTAAGTCCTTTGGATATAAACCAAAGAGTGGGATAGCTCAGTCAAATGGTGGTTCCATTCCCAGTTTTCCAAGGAATCTCCAAACTGTTTTCCATATTGGCTGCACCAATTTGCAGTCCCACCAACAATGTGACTGTGCCTTTTTCCCCATATCCTCACCAACACTTATTGTTGTTTGTGTTCTTAATAGCTGCCATTCTGACAGGAGTGAGATGAAATCTTAGAGTAGTTTTGATTCACATTTCCCTAATTGCTAGAGATGTTGAACATTTTTTCATATATTTATTGATTATGGGTATATTATCTTCTTAGAAGTTCAGTTTCTTAGCCCATTTATTGACTGGGTTATTTGTATTTTTGGTGTTAATATTTTTGAGTTCTTTATGTGTCCTAGAGATTAGGCTCTATCTGATGTGAGTGTGGTAAAAATTTTCTCTCATTCTGTAGGCTCTCTATTCACCTCACTGATTGTTTCTTTTGCTGAGGAGAAGCTTTTTAGTTTGAATCCATCCCATCTGTTGATTCTTGATTTTATTTCTTGCACTATAGGAGTCTTGTTAAGGAAGTTGAGGCTCTAGCCAGAGCAATTAGAGAGATAAAAAAATTAAAGGGATATAGATAGGAAAAGAAGAACTCAAATTATCATTACTAGCCCACGATATGATTCTATGCCTAGAAGACCCAAAACATTCCATCAGAAATCTCTTGGAACTAATAAATAAATTCAGCCAAGTAGCAGAATATAAAACCAACACCCATAAATCAAAAGCATTTCTGTACATCAATAACAAATCCTTTGAAAGAGAAGCTAGGAAAACTATCCCATTTACAATATCCTCAAAAAATAAAAATACTTGGGAATCAACTTAACAAAAGAGGTGAAAGACCTCTACAATGAAAATGTTAAATGTTATAGAATGTTAAAGAAAGAAAGTAGAGAAGACCTTAGAAGATGGAAAGATCTCCCTTGTTCTTGGATAGGCAGAATTAATATTGTCAAAATTACCATACTACCAAAAGCACTATACAGATTTAATGGAATTTCAATCAAAATCCCAATGACATTCCTCATGGAAATAGAAAAGGCAGTCATGAAATTCATCTGGAAAAATAAGAGACCCAGAGTAGCTAAAGCAATGCTTAGCAAGAAGAGTAAAGCAGGTGGTATCACTATACCAGACCTTAAACTATACTACAGAGCAATAGTAACAAAAGCAGCATGGTATTGGCACCAAAATAGACTGGTAGAACAATGGTACAGAATAGAGGACACAGAGAATAACCCACCTAATTACAGTTATCTTACATTAGACAAAGGCCCCAAAAACATACATTGGAGAAAAGAAAGCCTCTTCAACAAATGATGCTAGGAAAACTGGAAATCCATATGCAGCAAAATGAAATTAAACCCCTATCTCTCACCATGCACAAAACTTAACTCAAAATGGATCAAGGACCTAGGAATTAAACCAGAGACTCTGTGTCTATTGGAAGAAAAAGTTGGCTCAAATGGTCAGCTTCTCTACAGACAGAGTTAACAGAAAAACATGTAGCCAGACATTTCCTTTTATCTTTTCCAGTAAATAGTAGACCTTCATTAAATAAATAACCGACATAATAGTATTTTGTGTGATGCAAAATGTCCACTGGTGAGAAGCTCAACAGTACGGAAAACATTCATGTACAACCTAAAACGGTAAATCAGAAAATTTGGAGCAGGTAGGAGTTTGGGAACAAGGAAAACCTGGTCCAGTTTTTGGAGACTCAACTCATTCCTATGCGACCCCTGAGACCAAGCATGGCCCTCAATGTTTTGTTTTGTTTTGTTTTTTCCCCTGTTCTTTTTGGTACTCAAGACTGAACCCAGGAAAGATTTACCACTGAGCTATATCCCCACCCTTTTTCGTTTTTATTTTAAGACAATGTCTCACGTAGTTGCCCAGGCTGGCCTCAAACCCGCCATCCTCCTGCCTCAGCCTCCTGAGTCACTAAGTTACAGATGTGCCCTTCAGCACCCAGGGGCCCTTACTGCCTTAGGCCTTCAATTTGCTCCACCTTAAACATGGAAAATTGTCACAATGGCTTCTTCTGAGGGGAGGTTCTAGGGCCAAGCTGGAGACTGGGTTCCTCCCTGCCCACTGCTCTGTGAGGTCACAGAGCCAACAATTCTCCCTGACCCTGGCAAATTTGCCACATGGCACCTTCCAGAGGACACTCTGAGGTGGTGGCAGCAGCTAGTTCCTCCTCATTGACTCCCAGAGATCCCCACCATCATCCATTAGCCCTACAGAAGGGAATCGATGCCACGGTCAAGGAACACTGGGGACCCAGGTTCCCTATGCGAAGACGTGATCCCCAATGTTAGGCCCAGGAGGTGAGGACAACAGCCCCTCCCTTGGCTCAGCCTTTAACAACCGACAAAAGGCAGCCCCCCCACCCCCGCTGGGAGGGGAGCTGTGCTTTACAGTTGACGAGAGGTTGACAGCGGCTTTCCCAAAGTCTCTTGGCGAGGAGGTGGCCATCTTTCAGGATGTGTTTATTGAGCATCTACTCTTTGCCAGGCACCATGCAGAGAACCGGGGCACCATGTTGTACCAGCCCCATCGGCTCCCTGCTCTCCTGGAGCTAGTCTGGGAGGGAGGCAGACACTGAACCAGGAAACATGTATCTCGGCCCTCTCATCTGCCAGGAGGCCTCTAGCTGCAGGTGACAGGAATTCCAACATTCAAAATGGTACCCACTTCCGGGTCCCAGAACAGGGTGTGTATGTATCCCACCAGGGTTTACAAAAAAGCCATGGAGGTGAAGGAAGAAATCGTTAATGTTGCATGAGTATTTTTAGCTCATCCTCCTTGATATAATTAACACATAATAATTGTGTCTATGGGTGCAAAGTGATAAGTTGGTACATGCTATCCTCTATAATGATCAGATCAGGGTAATGAGCATTTCTTTGTATTGGGAAGTTTCAAACGCCTCTCTTCTAGTTATTTTAAGGTCTACCGCAAGTTGTGAAGCTAGTCACCCCCCTGTGCTGTATATTCCCCAGGAATGTTTAAATAAATCTGTACATTGAGGAAGGGTAAGTGTATGTTGGCATAATTGGGAATTATGTGAGCTTTCTAACACTATAATAAAATGCCTGAGATAATTAAGTTTTCAAGAGAAAAGGTATATTTCATGGTTTTGGAGGTTCTGGTCCATGATCAAGTGGCCCCTCTGTTTGGGGTGGCACTGCATCATGGTGAGAGTACATGGGAGAAGAAAATCACCCACCTAAGAAGCCAGGAAGGAAAGAAGGGAAGACTGGGGTCCCACGGTTCTCTCCAAGGACACGCCCCCAACAACCTAAGGACCTCTCATGAGGCCCCACCTCCTAAAGGTCCACATTGCCTTCCCATAGGGCCATTTGGGGACCCCAACCTTTAACACAGGAGCCTTTGGGGGACAATCAACATCCAAGCTGTAATAGGTATATTTGTGATTTCTCAAGAAATAAATGTAAACACAAAGGGGGGACAATGAGAGAATGTTGGGGGACCACTGCCTGAGGAAATGAAAGGCTTTTATCTCACCTACCAAGGGCTCCTGAGCTGTGGCTCCAGAGTCCCTGGATGCTGCAGTCCCATGCTGCCTCCGGAGACCAGGTTCCGGCTGTCACATGGCTCTTCCTTTAGTCACCTCTCGTGGTCACAGCATGGCCACCCTCGGTGGGGGGCAGGAACATGGCTGCTTAGGGGGAAGGAGAGCGGTCACTGCTCCCTGTGGGTCTCAACTCAGCGATGAGGAAACCTTTACCCAAATCAGGCTTCTGCCAGCAAGAGGAGTGGGTGGCTCGGGTGATGGCCACCTACAATGGCCACCCAACCACAGTCCTTGCCTTAAAAGACACCTGGATTTGGGGTCAGCCAGGCCCTGATCTGTCCCTGTTCCCAGCCTGGTGGCCTTGGCAAACTTCTCTGTCACTCAGTTTCTCAATCTGGGATGCGGTGACATCACCGGCTTGTGTTGTAAACCGCGACTGTGAACCTTGTCGTCCCCAGGTGCAACCCGCGACCCCGGAACACCAGCAGGATGGTGATGGACCCCTCACCAAGCAGGAGTGAGCAGAGAGGGGAGCGGGAGGGGGCCGTTGAGGGGCTGAGGCTCAGAGATGTTTAGCAGGAAATCCAGGGTCACACAGCAAGAGGTGGAGGCAGAGGGGCAGGGATGCTCCTGAGTGCCCCCCAGGTCTCCACCAGCCCACGTCTCAAAGGCAGTGACCTGACCGCCCATCGCTCCCTGCAGATGACAGCTTCCCGTTGCCCACCCGCATCAACGCCCCGGCCATCAGCCTGACTCAGTTCCTGCTGGGATATCTGTGTGCGTATGGTCTGCAGGGTCCCCTCGGCCACCCCCAGGGCCCGGGAGGGTCCGGCCTCGCGAAGCTGGGGAGGGGGAGGCCGTGAGGTTTACAGGGAGCCGCGGGTTGAGCCCCGCCGGGGTGATCCCAGCCAGGACCCCTCTGGTGGATGGAGTGGAGGTCGGCAGGACACTGGCAGGACACTGGCCGGTGAAGGGCTGCCCGCCAGCCCTCCTCTGCTGGGCCCCAGCCCGCCCGGCTCCCGCCGAGTCACCCCTCCAGCTGGCAGCCTCTCTCCTCTTCCAGTCCATCCACTCATTTCCCAAGTCCAGCGGCCATTCCCTCCTCTGTTCTCCCATCCTCCCGTGTGTCCCCCACCCTTTTGCACCCCTGTTTCTGCCGGCCCCACGCTGAGCTTCCCCGGAGGAACCCAGCAAGGCCCCTCCGGTCCCAGGCTCCCAGGTTCTGGACCTGGCATCAGCCCATCCCAGGCCTTAGGGCCACAGCCGTGCTCCCCTGCAGGGCCCAGCAGGCGCCAGCCTGGCACGTCCCATCGGCCTGTCCTGGGCCTGTCCTGGGCTTGACCAGCGAGTCCAGGGGCCTCCCAGGGCTGGGGCTGGGCTCAGCCGGGGCCTTGCCTCGCATGTGTGAGGCCCTGGGCTCGAGCCTCAGCACCACAGAAAAAATAAGTAAGAAGAAGGCCGCCCAGCTCCGAGGTGGCCCCCAGCCCCCAGACCCGCCGTAGGACAGGGATGAGGCACAGGACTCACGCTCCGTCTGTGTCCCCCGCAGCCTGGATCGCCTGCCTGGCCTACTTCCTGAGGACCCAGGCGCAGCAGGTCCTCTTCAACACCTGCCGGTGAGCGACAGGGCGGCCAGGAGGGGCAGGCAGCCCGTCCTTGGCTTAGGCGTCCCCCTGGTAGCAGTGTAGACCAGGGACCCCAAGCTGGCCCCAGGGCCCCCAGGGCTCCTCAGCCTCCCTCCGCAGCGGCTGCCCCTGGACCCCTGCCCCTTCTTTTCTAAGCTCCCCTCATTGTCACCCAGCTTGGGGACAGCAGGGCTGGGTCCTGGGCTTGACGCTCGGCCTCCTCCATTCATTTGAAGTCTGATGCCTGCCCTGGCCAGCCTCGGCCCACCCCTCGTGAGCTCCAGCCTGGAGACAAGGACAGACACAGCCAGCGCTCTGCGGGGACTGTGGGGGACCCTGGAGGTCCCAGCAGAGGCCACGTTCATCAGGGAGGGGAGAGGGCAACCGCTGGTGGCCGGGGGAGGGGAGCCCCTTGACTCTGGCTCCCCTGGCCTCCAGGTGCAGGCTGCTGTTCCAGAAGCTCATGGAGAAGACGGGCGTGCTGGTCCTCTGCGTTTTCGGTGGGTCTGCACACCCCGGGCAGGTGGCGTCCCCGGGTCTGGCCCCCGCTGGGAGAGGAGAGCGGGGGTCGTCTAGCACTGCTCTGCAACACCTGGCCACACGTGTCCCCTGCACGTGACTCAGCATCCCCACCTAATGAGGGTTCAGTGAAATGATGTCCAAGAAAAATTTTTGAAAGCCAAGAAGAGCTCTGGAAACCACATTCATGCTTCTGAATATGGATCCGTGGTTGATCCAGAACCATTTATTGAAAAGACTATTTTAGTCTTACTGAAAGTCTGGACGCCCTTGTGGAAATCCATTGACCGCCATGTGAGGGCTTTATGTCTCGACTTCAGTGGGAAAGCTTCCATCCGGCACCACTAGTAGGATGTTAGCTGTGGGTTTCTGATACACTGAGGAGGTTCTCTTCCGTTCCTAGTTTGTTAGGTGGTGTATCAAGCTGGGTGTGGTGGCCCACGCCTCGAATCCCTGCCTCTTGGGAGACAGAGTTAGGGAAATCATAAGTTCAAAACCAACCCCAGCAATTTAGCGAGGTCCTGTCTCAAAATTTTAAAAAATGTCAAAAGGACTGGGGATATGGCTCAGTGGTTAAGCACCCCTGCGTTTGATCCCTTACTCCAAAAAAAAAAAAACAACAAAAGTATTTTGTCAATAATAACAAATAGGTTTTAAAGGCTTTTAAACAACTGCTGAAATGGTGAGGTTTCAGCCAGTTGGAGATCATGAAATGCAGAAGAAACCATCTGCCTTCTTCTCTGTACTAATCCTCCCCAGCAAGGCTGGGACAGGAGTGTGGGAGGAGACAGGTACCAGGTATTTTTTAATGTAACATACATTGCATGTGATTTCATTTGCACATGAAGTGGATTTTATGCTATTGCCATTTGGCAGAGGAGGAAACTGAGGCATAGAGGGATTAAGTAATTTCTCCCAAAGTTGTGCAATGCTAGCGAGTGGCAGGGCTGGGCTCTGACTCCAGGCTCTTACTTGACCTTCTGTGTTAAGCAGCTGATTCTTGTTCTCATGGCCCCGCAGGATTCTGGATGTTTTCTATGCATTTACCATCAAAAATGGAAGTCTGGCAGGTGAGTGCGCCCCCGTCCAGCCCACAGCTGACTAGTCTCACCTCGGGCAGCTAATTGTCCCTCCGTAGCTCCTCTTGCTCTCACCAAATCTGGACCCTGTCAAGTTCCTGATTTATTCCAAACCAAATCTCTGCCTTGATCCTGCCACCCATCTAGGACCCTTCTCTCCTGCTACCTGTGACTTTCAAAGACCACATGCAATAGTCCCTCCACCAGGATGGCTCTCCTGCCACCCCCTAGATGACTCATCTCTCCTTTCTCAAGGCTCCCAGTAAAGCGAGGCAGTGGGAAGGGGGAAGACCCTCTTTCTACTCAACAGTTGGTTCTTTTCTGCTTAAATGAGACAACGATACCCCTTTGCTTTGTGGTTTCTGGGGAGGAAAGAAGAGGGGAAAGGAGACTGGAGCTCCCTGTTCAAGGATGTCTCGCAACACCTGCAGGGACCGGGAACCCCAGAGGCCTATCTCTTCTCCTCTCCCTTATGAACCCTTCACGTTCTTCAAGATTTCACAACATGTCGCTCCCTCCAGGAACAACCAGGCAGAGGTGGTCCCAGCCCCTTCCTTTCTCCCACAATGTCCTACACTCCTGACTGTCTCCCCAGCTCTACTATAGCAACTTGGAGGAAGGAGAGAGGGCGGATACCTCTGAGCAGTTCCAGCTCAGTGCAGGAAAAATGGCTGCCACGCTCAATGCTGAATGACTGGATGGTCAGACGGGAGTCTGAATAGAGGGAGAACAGATAGGAAGGTGGATGGATGGATGGATGGATGGATGGATGGATGGATGGATGGATGGACGGACGGACGGATGGATGGACGAACGTTGGATGTAATGGAGGTAGGGATGGGAAAAACAAAAGAGGAACATATAAAGGGAGAATGGGCAGTCGGGAGGGCAGGTGGGATAGATAGGTAAGTGGGGAGATGGATGGATGAGAGGAGGATATATGGGGTAGGGTGGGCGGATGGGAGGGGGATGGACAGGGAGCTTGGGGAGATGGAAGGGTTGATGGGTGAGGAAAGGTGATGGAGGAGAATGGATGGATAAAACTAAGAGTAAACTGGAGTTTCGAGTTTGGAGAGATGGTAGGTGGGTGAATGGATGGAAGCCTACATGGGAAGGTGGATGAGTGGATGGACTTGTGGTTTTGGAGAATGGATGGAGGGACTCTCTCAGGCCAACTGAAGGGGATTTCTGCTTTCTTCAACACTCCTCCAGGATGACAGCATAAATAGTCCGTTGCAGAGTTTGAGGTAAGAGGAATCTGCAGGTAAGTCCTATCATGTAAAAAATATATATATATACAGGTATAGGAAGACTCCGGGGTATATTGGCAGGATCATGAGCTCACAGACAAACCTGGACTTCAGTCCTAGCTCCCCTGAGTTTTACCTGTCTGGCCTGATGCCAAAGAAACTTCCTCTCGCTGAGCTTTTAACCAACGCCTCTTGTGTGAGATGAGGCAGAGTACTCCACCTTGCCCTGGGGACTTATGGGTATTAAAGAAACTCTGCACAGTTCCTGGTCCACAGTCAGTGATCAGTAAATGGTAATTAAGAGATTTCAATGAACAAGTCACCACCTGGTAGCAGCATTCTTAATTGCAAACAAAATTCTCAGAAATATTTAGAAAGAATGAACTGGTCTTAAGCATATTCCAAGAAGAAAGAAGAGAATGGATGGTGTTGAGAGATAATAACCTCTGGGTGAACCAGGAATGGGCCCAAGAGAGGAGAAGAAGATGAAGCTAGTTCTTTGAGATCTGACAAAGAGAGAACTTGAGGCCACAATAGCAGCATTACAGGACAGTCACTTCTTGCTTCACTCCTTCCTGTTAAGGATGTACCAGGAGAAGGTGCGACATCACACTGGGGAAATCCAGGACCTCCGAGGCAGCATGAACCAGCTCATTGCCAGACTCCAAGAGATGGAGGCCATGTCAGACGAGGTGAGATGCCACTCATTCTGCCCCCAGACACCTAACTTCTTTGATGTCCTCTTTCTTATATCCTGAGTTTTCTCCTTTCTTGGTTTTATCCCTCATTTTAATGGAGCACATCCCCAAGTAACTACTGAGAAAAGAACAAAAGAACTTAGAAACTTACATGTTTAAAAACACCTTTATATTCTACCCTTGCACTTGATTGGTAGTTTGGCTGGGTATAGAATTCCAGAAAGGAAATTTTCTCCTGAGAACTCTGAAGGAGGTCGACCACTGTATTCTCATTTGTATTGTTGCGGTTGGGAATTATTATGCCACTCTGATTACTGACCCTTTGGGTTTAATCCATTTGTTACTCCTGGGAGTTTATAGGGTATTCTTTTTGTGTCTAACATCCTTTTTTAAAAAATGTTTTAGTTGTAGATGAACTCAATACCTTTATTTTATTTTTAAGTGGTACTGAGGATCCAGTGCCTCCCATGTGCAAGACAAGTGCTTCGCCACTGAGCCACAATCCCAGCCCCTCATAGTCTATATATAACCAGCTTGGGGGTTTCCTATATTTTTAAAATCTATATATTGATATTTTTCAATAGTTTTAAAAAATGCGTAGCCTTTCTCTCTTAAAATATTAATCTTCCCCATCATCACTCCTCTCTTGAATTCTGATTACTATGCTAGACCTTTAAGAGTGTGTTTCATGTAATTCTTATGCTATCACCTGATTCACTTTTTTAAAAAAAAATCTTTTTTCTCCATGTTTTGATATTGTTTTTTTTTTAATTTCTTCAGGTTCACTAATAATTCTGTATTCTGCCTGAGAAATCTACTATTATTTCATATATTGCATTATTTAGTTATAGCATGCACATTTAACTCTTTTTCATATACTTTAACTCTTCAGTAAAATTCTCCATCATTTCATTTATGTTGTTCATCTTTTCCTTTATTTTATTTAACTCATCAGTCATGGTTATCTTTCAAATCTTTGTCTGCTGACTCCAACATCTGGATTATCTTTGGCCTCCTTCTGTTTTCTGTTTTTTCTCTTGGGTATCAGCCATACAATCTTGACTCTTAGTGTCTACTTTTGGGTATGAAAATTTTTATACATTTTTATATTTTTAGTGTTTTCTGGACATGGGATATAAAAGAACTCTATTGCTTCAAGTACTTTATGACTTCTACCCATACAGTTCCCTTTTCTTTGGAAGGAGGATCAGATCCCTTCTTTCTAGACCCACATTGAGCTGGTTCAGACAGACCCAGATTGCAAATTTATGAGATTTATTCAGATATTTTCAGGTTAGCTCTTTGGAAAGCTGCCCAGGAAGTTTCAAATATTTGGCAAGTGTTTTCAAGGGGAAGACTGACCATGGATCTGAGGGCTCTCAATTCTCCTTTTTCCTTCTAGCCCTGAATCAGTATAAAATCTCTGGCCCCAGTGGCACCTCCTCTTCCAGGGGCATACTTGAATTCCCACCTTCTAATGGTGCCAGACTAGTTCAGCGCCTCATGGAGGGCAGCTAGGGTACTCTGGGCTGACTCACCACTCCTTCTAGGGCAGTGGGTCTCAGAGGAGGGCGCCCATGCCTGCAGCATTCCCTGGGGAAATGTCAGGCATTCCAATGAATGGGCCCCACCCAGACGGGTTGGAGCTGCAGTCAGGACGGGAATCAAGCCAGGGGACTCTGATGCCAACCCCAGAGAACCACGGTCCTACGGCTTTAGTCTCTCACTTGTTTCATTTTGTGCCCCCCCCCCATTTTATTTCCTAAGCTTTAGATTCAGGAAGTTCTGCCCTCCAGAGCCTGGGAAGCAGCTCCTGGTCTCCTGTAGTCTCGAGTCCAGGGAACACTTTGTGGGGGAGGCTGGCCGAGGGTGCTTTTCCTCTGTCCTGATTTGATCCCCTTAGCCCCCCGGGGGGGGGGGGGGACGGGACTGTAACTTCACTGCTCCTCCTTCTCCAGGAGCAGTTCAGAGTCTGGCCCAAGCCCTGATCCTTAGTCCATGATCCAAAACATCAAAGGACCCCAGGGGTCAAAATAAAATTGTCAGCAGAACTGGGCCCGGTTCTCCCTTCTCTGGAATTTTAGTCCCTAGCCCACATTGGCCTTAAAATATGATTTATTCAACTCTCTGGCTTCTTCTAGTAGTTGCTGTGGTAGGCACTGGCCCTCCACGCGGGGCCAGGTCTTACCTTCCATCCAAAACTTCAAGAAAAACGCCCCTGGGCCGGACACCTGAGGAAGCTTTCAGTCCACACACTCACGTCCTTCCATCCTAAGAAACGTTCTTTAACCATGTGACCAAACTGGTGACCTCTTCCCTGGTCCTGTTTGCTCTATTCTTTTTTTTTTTTTAATTGGGTTTGAACCCAGGGGTCCCCAACCACTGAGCCACACCCCCAGCCCTTTTTTATATTTCATTTGGAGGCAGGGTCTCACTGAGTTGCTCAGGGCCTTGCTGAGTTGCTGAGGCTGGGTTTGAACTCGCGATCCTCCTGCCTCAGCCTCCTGAGCGCTGAGATTACAGGTGTGCGCCACCGCGCCTGGCTCTATTCTCACTTTTAAGCTTTTGTTATTTGGATGTCAACTCCTGAACAAGTCCTCTACTGTCTTTTCTATTCTCGCCTCCTGGGCCTCTTTGTTCTACAGTTAACAAGATAGCTTCAGCCTTATCTACCAAAACATCTGGTGAGTTTTCACTCTACCACCATCTTTGCCTAGAAGCCAAATTTCTAAGAATTTACAGATGGGGGTTTTGTCTTGTGAGATCAAGCAAAGCTGCCTGAAGCTTGACTGTACTCTTTGTTGTTTCAAAGTCCCAGGTTTCTGGCCAGGGCTATAGCTCGGTTGGTAGAGTGCTTGCAGCTTGAAGGGTCTGGAGAGTGGTGCTGGCCATGCACAAGGCCCTGGGTTCAATCCCCAGTACCCCCTCCCCCCCAAAATTCCAGGTTTCCAGGGCTCCTTCCTCTCCCCCAAGCCTCTCAGGAATCAGAGGAGAGAGTGTGTGTCACTCTTCCTCACTCAGGAATGAGGCCCTCTGCAGGGGTTTCCTCTCTGCATTGGGGAGGGAGACAGGGATGGGCCATGTGGGGGGTCGTAGAAGACGGACCACTGACTCAGAGAGACAGTAAGCATGGTGGTTATGAGCACTGGCTCTCGAGTCAAGTACTTGGATTTGAATCCCATGTTTACCATCTATAAGTTGTGTGACTGCTCTCCTCCCTTAGCTTCTCTGCGCCTCAGTTTCCTCATCTACAAAATGGGTTGTATGTGGATTAAACATGGTAATTCATGTAATCCTTAGAATAATGTCTGTCATAGGGTAAGTGTTCCTTAAACGCTTGTTTCCTTGGAACAAAGGTAGAAGCCCAAGGCATACACTAGTCAATACATAATCATTAAGCACCTACTGTATGCCTGGTCCCATTCTGGGGTTCAAGGATAGTGATAAACTAAATTCCATCCCTCCCTTTAAGGCAATCCCAGGACCTGTGGACCCCTAACCAGACTTGGAGCCCAAAAAGGGCAGGGACCATCAGGGAAATTTCTTGGAGTTGGTGACCCAGTTTTGAGAAGAAATAAATGAGCATTTGCCCAGCAAACAAAGCAAGAGTTAGGGATACTTTATCTTTTGGAGCTGTGCAACCTAAGGCAGGCCATCAACCTGTCTGAGCATCAGTTTCCAAATCAACAAAACAGAATTGTAACCACCACCCTATAACAGCCTGGCTCTTGTTTAGTCACTATGGCTGCATCCCAAGGCATCCCAAGAATTAGTGTAAAACAACCACTGTATCATGGTCAGAGAGTCTGCAGGTCAGGACAGGTCAAGGATGGTTGGTTTCTGCTCCTCAACACCTGGGGCCTCAGCTGGGAAACCTCAACACAGGGGGCTTTGATGAAGGGTCTGGAGAGTGGTGCTGGCCATCAGCTAGGAAGCGAGTTAGGCTGTTGACCAAAGCACCTCCTCTTGTGGCTTGGGCTTCCTCACAACATGGAGGCAGCTTCCAAGAGTGGAGGTTTTAGAAAACCAGTCAGTGTTCTAGTGACTTTTAGGACTGAGCATCACTTCTGCCATAGTCACGAGCCCAGACTAATGGGGAGGGAGCTTATCTGCCTCTCAAGGGAAGAAGTCAGCATCACATTGAAACTGAATGTGGAATGGGAGACCTGGTTGCAGCCATGGTTGGAAAATAGAATGGGCCACATGTGAAAGTCCTTTTGCCTCTATGCTCTCACCTTTAAAATGGGAGGAAGACCTCCACACTTCCTAGGAGCGCTGCAGGAGGCTGAGGCCAGTCCTGGCACACACCGGGGCTTTCTAGACCTCTCTAATCCTCTCTGAGAGGGAGTCGCCATTACCACCCCATCTTACGGGTGGAAAATCAAGTCTCAGAGGCACAATATTGCCCAAGGCCCCACAGCACTCAGGTCCTGCTGATTCCAGAGCCCTTGCCCTTGCCCTTGCCCTCAGTGAGCCTCTTGGCCCCTTGTGACACAGTCATGGTGCACTCAGACACTCAAAGTGAACCTCGTGGGAGGGGGTAGGGCTCTGTGTCACTGGGTCGTCCTCACAGTACAGGGACTGGGCAGTCCTGTGCTGGGCCATCGGAGGTTACCCAAGAGGGTTGCACCTGTCACCTGTGGAGGACACACCCCTGGGGCTTGTGATCTGTAAGGACACATCAAGGCACAGCCTGTGTTTTCTGCCTTCTCAGCAAAGAATGACCCAGAAAATAATGAAGATGATACAAGGCGATTACATTGAAAAGCCGGACTTTGCCCTTAAGTCTATAGGTAAGCGGCCTCCCCCGCCCGCTTCCACCCCCCTCAGCGTCTGCAGAAACCCTTCCATGCCTGGATTTTGATTCTGGTGTGATACACCCTCTGCTTGAGGACAGTCCTCCTCAGAGCTAACCTCTGTTCTCAGCTGGTTTTCTTGCTAGAATTTATTTTGTCTAATGGAGCCAGAAGCAGGGATGGGGCTAGGAATCCAGATGCTCCCCACTGCCTGACCCCTCCACTGCCCCTCCCTCCTGCCCCTCCCTCAGCCTGGGGCTGCCACACAGTGGTCAACAGGACAGAGAGATGGGGGGGTGGGGACACACTGACTAGAAATAAACCAATGTGGGCCACAGCGGTCAGGACTCAGGACTTCAGGGGCAATGAGGCAGGGAGCAGGGATAGAGGGGACCCCGCTGGCGAGTGACACTGGGTCCAGACCTGTGAGGAGGGAAAAGCCTTCCAGATGCCCCAGGGGAGGAGGTTAGCATGAGTGAGCTAGGGTCTCCTGGTGAGGGGACAGAGGCCAAAGAGGGGCCCGGGAGGGCACCCTAACATCAGTGAAACATGGGGGTCACAAGGCGTGTGCCGCGACCCCTGAGCGACCCTGGGTCCCATGCACCCTCTCAGAGCCAGAACTTCCCCTCTCTACTCTGTACAATGGGTGTAAAACCAGCCACGATAGCACAACAGGGCTGCCAGACATAGTGCGCACGTCTCCCCCAGGCTGGTGGGGAAAGCCCTGGCTCATTACCGCTGCCAGTGGACCTGGGGTGGGCGCTCTTTGGCGGCCTTTATGGTTACTGTCAGACCCACTGCCCAGAAGAGAGCACTGAGGTCCAGAGAGGGCGCTGTGAGGCTCCCAGGGGCTCCAGCACCCGGCGAGTGCCCTCCCCAGGCCGAATCTGATCCTTAACGTCCGTCCGTCCGCACAGGGGCCAGCATAGACTTCGAGCACACCTCAGCCACCTACAACTACGAAAAGGCTCGCTCCTGCTGGAACTGGATCCGGCTGTGGAACTACGCGCAGCCTCCAGACGTGATTCTCGAGGCAGGCGACAAGGGGCGAGGGACGGGTTTGTCAGAGACAGGGCCCTGGGATAGAGGCTGGCAGCAGAGGCTGGGCGGTGG